GTTTAGAAATAAAGAAAAAGAAAAAATCAGGAAGTTGGGTGAATTTTATCTGATTTCAAAACTGAAAAATACCTTTCTAAGCATTAAGCTCCAAAAAGGTAGAGACTTTTGCTTCACTTGCCTCTATGCAAATCCTAGAACAGCAGCGGGCATAGAACAGCTACTCAATCTGTATTTAAAATTAACAAAAGCAAGGAAAATAAACATAAATGAATTTAGGTCAAATCCCAAAAGGATTAAATACTGGTACAAGTCATGCTGTGTGATTCGTTTATATAAATTTTAAAAAGACATATACAGCCCTAGCTGGTCTTGTTCAGTGGTTAGCGCATCGGCCCCTGGACTGAAGGGTCCCGGTTCCATTCCAGCCAAGGGCATGTACCTCAGTTACAAGCTCGATCCCTGGCCCCGGTGAGGGCTCGTGTGGGAGGCAACCAATAGATTCGTCTCTCTCACATCAATGTTTCTCTCTCTCTTTCTGCCCCTCCACCACCCCCTTCTACTCTCTCTGAAAAGCAATGGGAAAATATCCTCAGTAAGGATTAAAAAAAAAGAAGCATACAAAAATGCAGTAACTTCTGTATAAAAGTTAAACTAAAGAGAAGTGAATGAACGGTAAAGACTCAGGAGAGCAGTATTTCTGAGGTAGGAAGGGGAATGGGACTGGGGCCAGACATACGCAGGTCTTCAAGGGTACTGCTAAAGTTGGGTCACTGCCTGTTCTCATTACTTTTTAAACAATACAAATATTAGTGTCACATTTCTTTTCATTAAAACAAAAAACCAGTAACTCCTAACTATACACACAAAAAAGGGGAAGAAAGGAACCAGTGACCAGCAAGCCCATGTGTCCCAGGATCCCAGAGAAGCTGAGGAATTAAAGAAATCAATGCTACGGTGGAGAGAAGAATCTGTCATGTACATAAAACAAGCAACAAAAACATCTAGTTAACTGCTGACTACATAGGAAATGAAAAGTGGTACGAAAAAGAAAATAGTTATGTAATCATATTAGTTGGATCAGAACTAGTTTATACGTTCAAAATAATCAAAAACTGCACTAAATTATCATTTTCCTATAAGTCAATAGATTCTAAAAATAAATCAAGAAATAGTAATTTTATGTTATTTAGAAATATAAAAATCCCCTATAAACCACCAACCAGGGATAATCACTTATCTGTACTTTGGTATCATTCAGCCCTTATTCTACACCTGCATTTAATCTACGGATTTTAGAACATGAGGTTTCTCATAACTCTAATGTTTTATAATCTACTGTTTTCACCTAATTTTTTATGATCCTTTCTTCAGTAATTACATATATAGATCAGATATGAAGAACAAAATGAGTATTCTAGACCAAGTTGGGGCTTTTTGTTTGTTTTGTTTTGGTAAAACCATTTTACTAACTGACCAAAGCACTTCATTTTGTTTTCTGATTTGAGGTAAAACCATTAAACCTGGTTCTAGTCAAAGTTTTTATATGATCTAAAGTTATCTAATCAGGACAGAGTTAGTCACACCAATAAAAAACATATAAATTCAATAATGGATTTGCTTTGTTCAAAACTGAGTGGGGATATAGGCCTTTAAAAAAAGTAAGATTAGAATAACGTGCCCTGGCTGGGTGGCTTGGTGAAGCCTCGTCCTGTGCACCAAAGGTTGCAGGTTCCATTCCACATCAGGGTGGGTGCATGCCTGGGTTGCGGGTTCAATCCCAGTCTGGGCACATACGGGAGGTAACCAATCGATGTTTCTCTCTCTCTCTCCTTCTGCCCCCTTCCTCTCTCTCTAAAAAAATCAATAAAACATATCCTCAGGTGAGGATTTTTTAAAATTTTAGAAGATTATAAATATAGCACATTTTTTTTCACTGCATAACTAGTAAAATTTAACAATAATGTTTGCAATAAAAATTAGTTTGCTCTCTCCATTAAGAATTCCTTTGCCTGGAAAAAAAGTGTTTTGATAATATATTACTAAATTTTAATAAATCAGGTCACAAAGGAGTATATACAGCATGATCCCTAATTTGTTTCTTAAAATGTGAATGCCACAGCACAAAAGAAGCCTGGAAAACACACAACAAATAAACAACAGTGCTTTCCTGTAGCGCACTTATGGATGAGCTCTGTTTTCTGATAATGCTTTCCCACGTCCTCCAATGAACTGGTATTACTTTTGGTATCACAAAAGATAGCTTTACACTCTTAAGAAATTGTCTTAAGTCAATGTTAATAAAAGATAGCAAGGATGTGGGTAGTTCGAGTGACATGTAATAGCTAGACTTGTTTTACATCTTTTGTGAATTTCCTCAAAGCACTTCCACTGCACTGGAACTTCTACTTGTTTAGTTGGGTCTTTTGTTCTTTCATTCAACAACTATCGAGCCCCGGCTATGTGCCAGGCACTACTCTAGGTACTGACGGTACAGCATTTCATAAAACAGATAAAGTCTATCCCTCTTTGACAGGGAAGACAAATACTAAAAACACTTAAACAAAAATACACTTTTAGTAGCAACACAAACACAAGCACACAACAGAGACCTACTTTTAAGTGTGACTGAGAAAAGTCAAGGACAAAGGGCTGGGAAGACACTAGGTGGGAGGAGAGCATGTTTCGGTCAGGGCAGGCCCTCTGAGGCGGTGGCCTGAGCACAGCACTGAGGGGAGAGCTAGCCATGCAGCTACGGAGAACAGGCTAGGCAGTGGAGCAGCAAGTAAAAAGGCCCGGAGGTGGCAATGAGCTTGGAATGCACACGAATAGCGAGAAGATCAGTGTGGTGAAGGTGGGATGAGCAAGGTGGACAGCATGTATGTAGAAGTGGCCGGTGGGAGTCAGATTGTGTAGGGCCCCTTATAGGTCCACACAGAGATTCTGAATTTATTCTAAAGGTGATGCAAAGGCACTGAGTTCTTAAAAGATCACTTTGCCTGTTGCATGAATAATGGACTGTGTGAGGGAATGGAGGCAGGAAAGCCTGTGAGAAAGTATTACTGGTGTCCAGGCAAAAGAATGTGGCCTGGACCAAAGCAGTAGGCAAGAGGAGGAGATGTGGTCTGAAATGGATATATTTTGATGGTTGATCCAATATAACTTGTAGGTGAATTACACATAAAGAATGGGGAAGAAATCACAGATGATTCTTAGGTTCTTGGCCAAAGCGACTGGGTGAATGGTGGTGTCATTTACTAAACTGAGGCTTAGTGGAGAAACAAGTTTGTGACCGGTAAAAATCAAGAGACTCACTTCATGGAATACTCCCTAACCATAAAAAAAAATTTTACCCTTTGCCACACCATGGATTGACCTGGAGATTATTATGCTAAGCGAAATAAGCCAGTCAGAGAAAGTCATGTACCATAAGATTTCACTCGTGTGGAATCTAATGAACAAAATAAACTAACAGCCTTGCCAGGCATGGCTCAGCGGTTGAGCATCGATCCAGGAGATCGGGGGTTCGATTCCCGGTCAGGGCACAGGCCCAGGTTGAGGGCTTGATCTCTGGTCAGGGGCGCGCAGGAGGCGGCTGATCAATGACTCTCTCATCATTTATGTCTATCTCTCTCTCTCCCTGCCTCCTTTCCTCTCTCTGAAATCAATAAAGATATGTTTTTGAAAAAAATTTTAAAATAAACAATAAACAAAACAGAAACATACTCAGAGATACAGGGAACAGACTGACAGCTATCAGAGGGGGGTTTCAGGGCTGGGTGAAAAACATGAAGGGATTAATAAAAAAACAAAACAGCTTGGCCGGGCGTGGCTCAGCAGTTGAGCATTGACCCAGGATCCAGGAGATTGTGGTTCGATTCCTGACCAGGGCACACGCCCGGGTTTTGGGCTCAATCCCCAGTCGGGGACGTGCAGGAGGCAGCTGATCAATGACTCTCTCATCATTGATGTTTCTATCTCTGTCTCTCTCTCTTTCCCTTCCTCTCTCTGAAATCAATAAAGACATATTTAAAAAAACAAAAAACCCCCCACAAAAACTCATAGTCACAGACAACAGCGTGGTGACTACCAGAGATGTAGGAGAGGGTATAGGAGGTAAATGGTGACAGAAGGAGACTTGACTTGGGTAGTAAACACACAATTCAAAAAAAAAAAAAAGGAAGGAAGGAAAGAGATCCATTTTGGACATGTTAAGTGAGAGATGACCATCAGACATTCAAGATGTCAGAGAGACAATCTTACCCACGAGTCTGCAGTTCATGTGCAAGTTGGGGCTGAAGACATAAAACTGGTATTAAAGTTATAGGACTTAAGTGTTATCTCCTAGGGTGTGAGGGCCAAAGAGAGCCCTGATATCTGCTAACTTTAGAGGTGACGAAGGGAAAGGCAAGTGACCAGGGAGGTGTCCCAGAAGCCAAGTGAATGAAGTGTTTCCAATAGAAGACACAGATCAATGGGTCAGAACTGCTAAGTACAGTAGGTAAGATAAGGAATGAGAGCTTCAGTACAGTGACGGAGTAAAAATCTGGTTTACGTTCAGGAGAGAAGACAGCTGAGCATAGACAACTCGTCCAAGGCATGTTTCTGTGTTAGCAACTCAGAGCTGACTGCTATATCTCAAACATCTTGCTAGTACTTTAACCCAAATCATTTCGAGCCAGAAGTTTCCTGCCCACCCCATTCTATTGCTAGCTGAACTCTATGCTCCTCCCTCCACACTGAGGATGAATTGCAAAATCATGAGCTGCTCTTTATCTTTCATAACTTGGTGTATATCTGGAACCAAAAGGTATTTAATTAGTGTTCTGCTCAATTTTCCAGAGGTTATACATAATAAAAGCCAACAGATAAATTACTAACATGTCACCAAGGGGTTAAAAAAATACCAGTGGTCAAGTCATTTAACCAAAATATCTTATTTCAAATCCTCTGCTGAGACCTTAAAAATAGCCATTTAATTTCCCAAATGTGTAACTTTCCCTCCAATTCCCCTGACCTTAGCCCTTTGTGCAATGCCCAGAAAAGTCAGATTCCCCTACCTGACAAACTGTCTTCTGCTAATTCCTTTTCTCTTTCAATTTTTCCCTCTAGAGTTGAAATGCAGAATTCATAGCCAGCAAGAGCGAATTCCTGTCTGTAAAGTAAAGATCAGGAGGGATGTCATAAGTGATGTCAATCTGCCATTTCTCAAAAGTTACATTTTTTCTTCTTTACACCCATTTAACGGAACGTAAGACATAAAAAGCTAGGAATGCAGACATAGTTTTAATAGCTGACATAGCCAGCAGATTTCATCATCTCCCAGAACAGTTAAGCGAGCCAGTTCCTCCACCTGTGAAAGCCTACACTTGCTCAAAGTAACACTAATATGAATGGAGGCTAAGGCCACCCTGTGCTGGAAGTCTAACTAATGATCTCATATAACTTCTGGGATAACCTTTATACGTCTTCCAAGTTTCTTTCACAGAAATGAAACTCCTAGCTATGGCACTAGAAGGCATTTAGCCTCCCTCCAGCCCTGGACCCTCTAGCCTTGGGGACTCTAGGTAGAACAAGTGTCAACTTTCTGGCTGGTTTCCAGAAATAGATGCACAGAAACATGACAGAAGCTCAGTCCTGGTTCTTGCTCTTTGTTTTGGCTCCGGTTTCCTACTGGAAGTGGCACTACAAAGCTCATCCCTTCTCCTCTAGTACTTTGCCAGGGAGAACAGGTGACCCCACTGTTCGGAAGAGCAGAAGCTTACCCAGACCCAGACCCTGGCAGACATGGTTTGGTATTCAAACAGGACATGAGGCTGGGCGACTGGCCACAAGATACTCCTAGTCAGAGCAAAATATCTAGAAACGACTTCCCTCCTAACTAATATCAATCTCTCTAAGCTCAGGATCTGATAATACATTTTCTGGTCTCATGCTTCCCTTAATAAAACAAAACAAAACTTTTGAGGAGAGTAATTTACAAACTAATTACTAGTGGCTTCTACTGGCTTCTACACAAGGTTTCACCTCTATGAGACCATGAATTTGACTTACTCTCCAGTTTTATTAGCTTTGGGCTTCTTCTTACCCTAGCAGTTCACATCCCATCAACATCTACTCTTGTTAATCCTCCAAGCAAAACTGACCCAGCTGCAATGCTCCCCGGAATGGACCAATGTCAAAGCTCCACAAAGACTAGAAGTCAAAGGCCCTCAGAAGCTCTTGCCTGTCTAGTATCCAACCAAATGCAGGAAAACTGGTTCCTGCTAAGAATGAAGGAGCTGGTGGCCCTCAGCAGGGATCAGTGCCAGGGCCCTCACCTCAGTGAACACTCATTCTATAGTACCAGGCTTGATGTTATTCCAAACCTGTAGTGCCCAACTCTGCAGCAACTAAAAATCAAAGGAAAAGCTTGTCTTAGGTCTTCCCGTAAACTTATCCCAGAATGTAACTCCCCAGAGTTCTTTGCTTATGTCCTAAATATTTCCTCTTTGAACTCCACCTGTAGAAAAGGAAAGGCCTCAGCCCTCATTCACCAGTTCCTGACCTTTGGCACACATCCAAATTGTTTTCTAAAGCCTTTCCTCTTTGTAAGAATTGAGACTCATCTAATACTTTTAAATTAGCACTGATTTCCTGTCCCACTTATCCAAAAGTCTCNGTGTCGCTGGCAGACTTCCCTCTTTGTAAGAATTGAGACTCATCTAATACTTTTAAATTAGCACTGATTTCCTGTCCCACTTATCCAAAAGTCTCTCTCCTACTCCTAGACATCTCCCCTTCCTAAAACCTAGCTACCAGACCCTCTCTGCATGCTTTAAAAACACTGCCCACCAAACCAGCCACTAGAACACTCCACAGCAACTCTCTCATTTAACTTGATACCTAACTTCCTGGTTGGTTGATACTTACACAGGAAAAACCGTTTCTTCAAAGTTCACTATCCTAGCAGCTTTTACATTGCGCCCTCCTCTTCTGGGAAGAGCTGCACTAAATTTCTCACTCTGACTTCCCTTGTTTAGCTCTGACGCTGTGCAGCCAGGGTTGAGTCCTACATGCCCCATTCATCAGGCTCATCAAACAGCAGGGGCAAAACTGGGAAAGACTGACGATTTCAAAGATGAAGGGTGGAACACTCTGATGTAACACTCAGTTTTTGGAGACCCAGATGATGTAGAGACCCAGCAGGTAAATGAAAACTATGTAACATCCCAGGGTCACAGTTTCCTGCCCACAGTCCTAGAGTCTGGCTATACTTACCTATTCTGAGCAGCATAGATACTGGCCAACTTTAGAGAGATTTCAATTATTGCATTGTCTTCCTGTTAGGAAAAAGAAAAATGAAGAAAACACATGACAAGTAAAATTTCCTCATGGACTATTTCAGATCAGCCTATAGACTAACCTTGGCCTGAAAGTCAGTCTTCACCCTTTCAAAGGAGGTAGGCAACTGTGAATTCCTCAGCTACCATGTTTCTGCATAAGGGAAGTTTTTACACAAGTCCGAGGGGGGGAAAAATCTACTTTTTTTTTGGTCCAAAGCATATGTTGGGAGCTGGGTGGAGTTTCTAGGAAGCAAGACTATTTTGAAACCTGCTTCAGCTAGGGCCCAATTCTAGGAAATATCCTTACCTGTTGCATGCCCCCTCCAAGCAGGTAACTCATTGTTGCTTTAAAAAGTTTTTCTGCCTAAAAGCATAAGGAAAAGATTTTTCTTTTACTTGGGTTCCACTATCTAGATGACCCTGAATTCTAAGTACTAGTCTGATGCATCATTCCTAATAAAACACAATACACAAACATACATTCACATACAGAGAAAAGTGTCCATGTGATGGGAAAACAGACTAAAAACCTGGATTCCACATTCTCTGGGCACCTTAAAAACTATTCTGTGATGAGTAGAAACTTTAGAAGTTAACTTCTAATCCAAGCCCACTGTGGCAGAGACTGCAAACTATTCCCTAATATTCACTCTCCTCTCCATCTTTTTAGTTACAGAATTTCCTCAATTTTTTCTTTTGGTAACTTTTTATTGATTTCAGAGAGAGAAAGGGAGATAAATAGAAAACATCAATGAGAGTCATTGGTCAGCTACCTCCTGCACGCCCCCCTACTTGGGCTCGAGCCCGAAACCCAGGCATGTACCCTGACCAGGAATCAAACCATGATTTTCTGGTTCATAGGTTGACACTCAACCACTGAGCCACGCCTGTCAGGCTCCTCAGTTTTTCATAGGTCAGCCTCCTTTGCAATTAGGTACAGTCATATGATAAAGTTTTGGCCAAAAGATGCAGGCGGAAGGAATGTGAACAATTTTTAAATCATATTTTACAAGGAAGCCATTTGCCCTCTGTCCGTCCGTCCGTCCTTCCTTCCTGCAAGCTGGAGGTGAGCCAGCTCATCTATGCAGATGAGGACGCATCTGAGGAGCCTGGGCTTCTTGACCACTTCATGGAACAAAGGTACATAGCCCTCTTCAGTGTTTAACTACCTCTGGACTAAAAGCATTTAAGAGAAATATACCTCCTTGTTTGAGTCACTCTATTCTGGGGTCTCTTTGTGACAGTGGCTTTGCCTTACTAAGAGCATTTCCTTGAAACTAGTCCTTCACAAATTCAAGATATTACAAAGTGATTTACTTACTTACATTTTCAAGCTGGCCCCGTATAAAGGCTAAGTTGGCCATCTGAAAGCAAATTACAAATTGTTTTTCAGTTTAGAGCACTTTGTTCCTACTTATTTCAAAACTTTTGAGCTAATGACTCCTTTTTGCTTTCATCCTCTAATTAAAAAATTGTTCAGAGAGGTAAGTATGTCACTAATCAGCGAGAAGCAAAGTACAGCAATGATATGAAAATAAATATTTGCTCATGCTTTGTGGCTATCAAAACCAAATCTAGATTCACTCATCCTGGGAGAAGCAAATGTTAATATTTGTTTCTTTTTGGTCTGGGATTGAAACTTCTTATAAGTGACACCCCAAGGAAAATAAAAATTGAAACAAAAAGAAAATTTAGTAAAAACAAAAACCAAGAGCTTTATATTCCTGAAGGTCAGGAATATAAATCAAGAGAGCTAACAACCCTTCTCTTGCATCCACCCTTCATCAGTGTGGCTCAGGTTAGTTACATGAGTTACCAAATCATAAGTGTAAATGATGGCCTTCTTGTTATCATTCTGATAGGCAAGACGAAGTGCGTCATGCAAAATTAGCTCAGCCTCTTCTGGCTCATCTTTCATGATGCTCAACTGAAAAGAGAAAAACACAGAAAATGAAATGTAAAGAAAGTAGATGCATGTGCTTACCAGACCGAAAAGGATATGGCTATACATCCCAAAACATAGAATGGAACCATTCATTCATTCATCAAATATTTACTGAATTCCTACTGTACACCAGGCATTATGTCTACAATATTGACAAAGAGTTCAGCCTCCCTTGCAGCTATGTATGGCCATATGACAAAATTTTGGCCAACAGATGCAGACAGCAGGAATGTGAACAATTTTCACGTCATGTTTTATAAGCAAGCTCCTTGCCCCACATCCTCTCTTCTTGCAGGCTTTTATTAAAGGGACCCTGTACAACACGTAAGTTTAATCACAACTAATGATAAGACCTAAGAAAAAATGGAAAGGAACAATAAGGGTCTCCTCTAAACAGGAGTCAGAGCTCTCCAAGGAAGTGACAGTTAAACTAAGGTAGGAAGGATGAGAGTCAACCAAATAAGAAATTGTAGGGGAGATGACCCAAACAGAGATTAAGGAATGAGCAAAGACCCTACAGGCTGAAGAGAATAGTTCTTTTAGAACCATTCTAGAAATGGAGAAAGATATGAAAGAAAGTTGGTGAACCAGAAGATTACTGCCAAATGGGTGGGCAAGGTAAGGTGGAGCCAATCATGTAGGGTCTTGCAGGCCATGGAAAAGAGTTTGCCTTTTATCATAAACGCAGTGAAAAGCCCCAGCAAGGCAGCTCAGTTGGTTGGAGTGTCACCACATACACCAAAAAGGTTGCGGGTTTGATCCCTGGTCGGGAGGCAACCGATGGATGTTTCCCTCTCACATCAATGTTTCTCTCTCTCCCTTTCTCTCTAAAATCAATAAGAAACCGTACTGCTAGGTGGAGATTAAAAAAATGCAGTGGGAAGTCACTCAAAGTTTTTAGGCAAGAAGGTGGTATGATCTGATTTACTTACTTGTTTAAAATATGTTTTTATTGATTTTGTAGAGAGAGAAAGAGGGAGAAACATCAATGAGAGACAATCATGATTGGCTGCCTATCGCATGCCCCCTGCTGGGATGGAGCCCACAGGCTGGGCACACGCTGACGGGCAGTGGAGCCTAGGACCTCTTGGTGCATGGGACCCTGCTCAACCAGCTGAGCCACACTCGCGGGACTGATTTACTTTTTTTAAATCTCTCTGGCTGCTGCATGGAGAATGGAATCTATGCAGGGGCAATAGGGCAGGCAAGACTACTAGGTGGTAGGCTGTGACAATATGGCTCTGGTGATAGCAGAGGAAATAGAGAAAAGGGGGCTGGTTTTTTGGATTTGCTGGCAACAGGATTTGTTACTAGACTCTAAGTGTACGAGGAGGCGGTGGTAAGGGATGCCAAGCTTTAAGAATGACTATGAGGTAGGTTGAAAAACTGGGTAGATGGTAGTAAAGAGATGGTGAAGGAGATGTGTCGGGGAGGAATTTAAGATCAGGAGTTTACTGTGGGGCCAGTTAAGTCTGAGAGCTAGGCAGGGCCTCAAAGTGGAGATGGCACGTCAGCAGCGCACTGCAGCATGGAAATATAAATTTGGACGTTGTTGGCATCAAGGCGGAGTTAACCCAATAGAAGAGTTGAGATAACCTGGGGAGAAAATAGGAAAGAATGCGGTGAAAAGGAAGAGTTTAGAAAGAAGAGAACCAAACCCCTCATAAGCACCACTAAATTTCACTTTCAGGACCTTCCATACTGTGTGAGAAATTCTCTATGCCAGTCCTGTCAGCTTGGCTGGTTCGCTGGCAAAAGCTACCAAACGTTGCCGCTAATTCTGCTTAAAAGAACGATGCCTGTGGTGCCTGCAGAGATCGCACTGGGGGCTGGAGAGGCTGACGAGCCCGGAGGGTCCCCACGCCGCCCGGCCCGCCCACGACCCCTGCCTTCCCGGGCACTTCACCCTCGGGCCTCCACCGGGCTTCAGCAAACAGGAGACGGGGCCGCGCACCGACGGGCCGCCTCACCTTGGCTCGCTTCAGCAGCCGGATGATCTCCGCCTCGGCCTCGTCCGCCGCCTCCCCGGCGGCCCCGCCCGCTCCCGGCTCCTCCTCCTCCTCGGCCCCGGCGGGCCTAGAGAACCACGCGAGCGCTGCGGAAAGGGCTCCGAGGTCACCGGCCCTGC